CACGGAGTACCTTCATTCTTGACCAGCGTATTTCTGTCTCTGTTGTTAAATAAATATTGCCATAACAGGGGTCTTTGGGCTGCACTTTGTCTGATCCTTCACCTAGGACCTGTTTGCCTTGGGTGACCCTGGTGGGTGCATGAGGCCTCCGACAACATAGATCCTGTTGGGACACTCAAACCTGTCCACCACGAGAAGGTGTCAGCCCAGGGTGACATAATGCATCTAAAAAATAAATGAAGTCGACGATGGAGTAAAACATAAGAATGTCTTTTTAAGTTAAATATTTTTTCTTTATTCATTAGGTCATGTCTGTCCTGAAAGTTACATAAAATACGATTTGGAAAATGTCATTTGTAACATTAAATTAACAGAAAATGGCCCTCAGGTTGGACCAAGTTTTGAATTTTTGCCCCCTTTTATGGCTGATTTTGACTCTGTAGATTGTGTTAGCGTAAGTTGTTTTTGTTTTTGCTTACTCAAATATTAAAATGTTCAATTGAGCCTTTCTTTACATGCATTTGTTTTATAACAATTATTCCTTATTACTTATAATTTTTTACCATATTTCAATTCCAAAATTGTCACATGTGCTTTTTGCCTAATTTTTTATATAGAGCTAATAATTCAACATCAATGGCTCTCATGGGTTTGATTGAACAAATAACGAAAGCTGTTGYTCAAAGACAATATTGTGTTAGCGTTTTTGTTGATTTAAAGAAAGCCTTTGATAACCACAGTATTCTTCTTGAGAAACTGTARAAATATGGTATGAGAGGTTTAGTACAGCAGTGGGTATRTAGTTATCTGACAAACAGGAAACAGTTTGTTCAAATAAACGATGTAAGATCTAAATTTGGTGATATTACATGTGGAGTTCCACAAGGTTCTATACTTGGACCAAAGTTGTTTCTCTTATATATAAATGATTTGGTAAATGTGTCAGGGTTGTTTAAATGTGTCTTGTTCACAGATGAAACCACTMTTTTTGTTTGGGKAAAGCTTTAGRACAGATGTTCAGGATGATTCAGACAGAATTTGTAAAAATACAAACTTGGTTTAAACTTAAATTATCACTAAATCTGGACAAAAACAAACTACATGATATTCAGTGATAGAAAAAGAACGGCTGATGTTTCATTTAAAGGTGATGTTGTTGAGATCTGTAAAATTAGTGAAGTAAAGTTTTTGGGTTTTATTATTGATGAAAACCTGACCTGGAAACATCATATAAATTACTTAAGAACAAAAATACCAAAATCTGTTGCAGTTCTACATCAGGTAAAGGAGTTGTTTATTATATAACACAATAATTATTCCACATTTGATTTATTGTGTTTAAATTTAGAGTAAACTATGTAAAACATTTACAAATTCTGTTCTTATTCTGCAAAAAAGAGATATAAGAATTGTTACCAGAAAACATTATAATCACCCATCTACATATTAT